CGCATTGCTGCATGACATAGTCCTGGAAGACGCCCGTCGTCTCTGGGTTGTAGCGATCCAGGCCATCGAGGATCTGCTGCATGTGATCCGGCCGCTCAGGCGCGAAGTCGAAAGGGGCGCCCATGGTGGTTGGTGTGGATGAGCGACGAGGCGTTGGTGTAGCAGGCTGGGTTCAATTTCGCACAGTGCGAGACGGGCGGGCACTGACCACCACGCAGCCCCGCGTCATCCTTCAAAAAAGTTAGACCCCGCCAAATCATTCTCCCACACGCGCTGCGTATACATACACACCACGCACACGTACACACAATGGCAGCGCCATATGACAGTGACTCGTCCGATGGCGGCGACGACTACACCGAGACCAATGTTCTCCTCGGGTATGCCGCCAAGGAGGCTACGAGCGACACCATCTCCCATCTTGGAGGCACTCCGGTACGCATGGCACCGATGCAACATACAAAAGTCTGTCACTAAGCCGTGCAATAGAGTTGGATCGATGACAAGACTGCCCCTTCAGGCTCCCTGGCCAAGTGTAAAGTCTGCAATGGTCTCCTCAGTCTTTTGCTTGAGCTCAATGGCGACATGCCCGATACCTTCCCTGGCCACGAACGGCGATTATACATCTGGACGTGCCGGCGCAAGACATGCAGAAGAAAGGAGGGCAGTGTGAGGGGCATCCGGGGCGTGCGCATCACAAAGGGCGCCAGCAACAAGATACCCGCTGCCAAAATCGAGAAAAAAGAGGAAAAGCCGGAAGAGAAGCCACAGCCTAGGATAGGCGAGTCGCTCTTTGGCGTACAAAATGGGGCAGGCGCTTCAGCCTCCGCAAATCCCTTCTCCAACCCCTTCTCTTCCAAGCCAGGTGCTGGAGTAGCGAACCCCTTCTCTTCGCAGTCAGGAAGCGCAAACCCCTTTGGCGCACCAGCGCCGGCACCGGCTGTACAAGCCATCGCATCCGAGAAGAACAAGGATGAGGCGTCTACAACCCTCCCAGAGACCTTTGCATCTAAGGCGCGCATCTCATCCCCACCTTCTTCTGAACAGCAATCTCCACGGCCACACGAGCCCTGGCCAGCAGACTCTGCCTTCCCCGCACCGTTCCCACACTACCACCTGGATGCCGAGTACGAGACATTAGACATTCCATCAGCGCCAACAATCCCGGCGAATGTGCGCATGGAGGTAGACGGCGAGGGTAGCGGCAGCACTGGAGGAGGTAAAGAAGATAAGGAAGTCTTTGAATCATCCATGGACAGGACATTCCAGAAGTTCGCAGACCGCGTAGGCGAGAATGCAGAGCAGGTCTTACGTTATGAGTTCAAGGGCAAGCCATTGCTGTACAGCGATAGCGACGCTGTTGGGAAAGCTCTGGCAGCTCACTCAGAGAATGGATCTTCCTCCAATGCCAAAGTCACAATAACAGGCTCAAAAGGCGGATCGGGTTTCCCTCGCTGCCAGATGTGCGGTGCAGACAGAGTGTTTGAGGTTCAACTGACACCACATGCCATTACTGAACTGGAGGCTGAAGAAATGACCCTCGATGGTATGGAATGGGGCACTATTATCATGGCTGTCTGCAGTAAGGACTGCAAACCCAACGACGTCCCAGAAGGCGAATTGGGATACGTAGAAGAATGGGTCGGTGTGCAGTGGGAGGAGGTTCCTTCGAAGAAGTAGAGAGAAAAGATACCCTTTGTTCTGCTGTTCAACTGGTTCACGTTTCTGAGTAAGCTGTGCCGTATTAGATATGTATGACGCTTGGCACCATGCTCTACCTCTTAAAGTTCGGAACTCTTGTCGTTCCGAAATGCTCATTACCTCGACGAAAACGGCAATCCAATCTCGCAATCGAGACCATCAGTGGATTCTGATACAATCTCAAATCACCTCACGAGGATAAGCATGTTTCTTTGTGGCTATACAAGGGAGGCATAGTCTTGACATGTGATGTGTGACTTGAGGTCCCCGCTAAGCCTCATCGCATACCGCCCACAATCCTCATTCTTAAAGATCAATTTAGTCATCAATAAGCCGACAAAGGGCCTTGTTCCTGCAGGCTCCTAACCGCTCATGGCAATGTAAACTTCATCAACCAATCCTTTTCTTTCTTCCAACCAATCATAATCAACACGAGAGAGCGATGTATCGCCTGAGAAATCCGTTGCGGCTGCCGCGCGGTTTTCACGCTGTTACCTCGAACTAATTGCCCCGACGCTTGAGTTGGACACGTACATGTATCCATGTATCCATGTTTCTGCCTGCGTTTTTGCCAACATGGTATGGTGTGCTCGGAGGGTTCCGGATGACGCGGTAAAAGGTACATATATGTATGTACCTAGAGTGCATGCACGATTACGCTGTCTTGTTCTTGCACGCTCTTCGCCTCATTGAGACCGACCACCGCGATGGCCACATCAGACCCACAAGTGGCTGTGCCTCCAACACCACCAACACAGCCACATATATCAACCCAGCCTGTGACCCTGCAAAACTGGTACAAGAAGATCAATTGGCTCAATACGACACTGGTCGTCCTCATCCCAACCTATGGCCTCTATCTTTCCCTTTCTACACCCCTCACCCGTCCTACACTGCTATGGAGCATCCTTTACTATGCCACAACCGCCTTTGGTATCACAGGCGGTTACCATAGATTATGGAGTCACCGTTGTTACTCTGCACGTCTTCCTCTACGCATTTTTCTCGCATTCGTAGGGGCCGGTGCCATCCAAGGAAGCATACGCTGGTGGAGCGCTAATCACCGCGCTCACCATCGTTGGACTGATACCATGAAAGACCCATATTCGGTCATGCGGGGTCTACTCTTCTCCCACATTGGATGGATGGTCTTAAACACGGACCCCAAAGTGAAGGGACGTACGGATATTTCTGATCTGGACAACGACGCCATTGTCGTTTTCCAACACAAGCACTATGGCAAGATTCTTATTTTTACCGCCTGGATCTTTCCTGCATTAGTCGCTGGCCTGGGATGGGGAGATTGGTGGGGAGGTCTTGTGTACGCAGGCATCATTCGAGCGTGTCTCGTTCAGCAAGCGACATTCTGTGTCAATTCGTTGGCACACTATCTTGGAGAGCAACCGTTTGATGACCGCAGGAGCCCTAGAGATCATGTGTTTACCGCTCTCGTTACCATGGGAGAAGGCTACCACAACTTTCATCACGAATTCCCTAGCGACTACCGTAAGTCTGACCACCAAAAAAAGGTAGAGCCTATATTTAACAGATTCCAGGTAACGCTATCCTCTGGTACCAATATGACCCCACTAAATGGCTGATCTGGGGCATGTCCAAAATCCCCTTCTTCCCACTAACCCAAGACCTCAAGACGTTCCGCGCCAACGAAATCGAAAAAGGCCGTCTCCAACAACAGCAAAAAGCTGTAGACAAGAAACGCGCAGCACTCGACTGGGGCACCCCGCTTTCCCAACTGCCCGTCCTCTCCTGGGACGACTTTCAAACCCAAGCTTCTACAAATGGCGCCGCGCTGGTAGCTATTGCTGGTGTCATCCACGACATCTCGCCTTTTATCGCCGACCACCCCGGCGGTAAAACACTGATCAAATCTGCGATTGGGAAAGACGCAACTGCTGTATTTAACGGGGGTGTGTATGAACACTCAAATGCAGCACACAACCTGCTCTCAACGATGAGAGTAGGTATTCTGCGCGGAGGCCAAGAAGTAGAGGTCTGGAAATCGAGTGCGGAGCGGGCGTCTAAGGATGTTAGGGGTTTAGGTATTGTTCGGGCGGGTGAGTAGGCTACAAGGGTCGCGGCGCCGGCTACTGTGGCTACTGCGGCGTGATGAGAATGAGATAATGGTAACGAGCTCGTGGTATGGGAGTTGAAAATGTACATGTGATGTCATCTGGAATTCATTAGAAGCATATAGATGTAGAGATACCTGTCATCAATTCTACTCCGCCATTGATTGCATAGACCGTCTTGTCTCGCTTTGTAAACCTGATATGCCAAGCAAATCAGATACTCCGAGAAGGGATGGAATCTCCGCTCGTCATGCTAGCCGTAGTCCGTTCCGAGAACTAACAAGGCAAACCTCATCTTGGCAAATGCATCTCTGAAATGTGAAATTTAGTATCATCGATACGAAGGTATATATGATATGGTGTTTAGTAACGCCTCTGCCCAAACGTTGTTCATACCAATGATGTGTTTTCGCTAAATAGAGGAATAACCTACTATGGTGTCGAAATAAAGGTTGGATCACGACACAGATGTTTTCTTTCATGAAAAGATATATTCATAGAGTAAAGCTTACTATAAGATATTGAGTCCCAAGAATTGATTGACGAACTTGACGCATGATTTGCCCTCAAACTGAGTAGCAGATTTTGTGTTGAAGAATCATGTGGAAAGCATGAAATAGGAAATGTTGAGAGGAGGATGAAATTGCAAAGGGGGAAACGCAGAAGATATTCCTAATCCGCTCAGCCGTTCTTGATTGCACCGAAGAGGCAGAGAAAAACGGGGGGGGGGGGGGGGGGGGGGGGGGGGGGTGAGCGAAAATTCATGTCGCAACTACCTACACCCCCCCCCCCTCCGCAAGCTTGGGGGGGGGGGGGGGGAGAGAAATTGTGTGTTCGCAATACAAATCAGTCTCTTATTCAGTGCCTCGGAGACCTTGAGACATACCAATGACAAGTGGATGTTCATAGTCCTTGCCTTTTCTATTTTCTCGGTGTTAGCATATCGTAAACAAGTTATTGTTCAATAGCCTTACATGTGTGACAAGGTTGGTATTATGCTCCGTCGACATCCATACTATCTCCCCTTGCTAGTTGTATCATTTCCTTAATCTCTTCTGCGTTCCGTTTGCTTTCCCCGTCTTGATAGATTCCGAGAACGGCCAATGTCATATCCGGGAAGAATTTTACAATTGATCTGGCATCCCATGAGGCAATTCCATCCCAATTTCCCCTTTTCCCATATATATCAACAAATAACTCTAACATTAGTTATTCGAGGCGAGATGTTGCGCATTCATCATGTAAGGTTGCGAGATATCTTCCTCTGACGGCCGACCCACCGATCGCCAGTTTGACAATTGTATCCACCACTTCCGTGCAAAAGCGCTCATCCTCAACTTGGATTCCAATATCATAAGCTTGGAAGATGTCCAAGACAGCCAATTCCCTTTTGGAAAAACCAAGATCTTCACCATCGCCATATCCTTGTTGTTGTTCTCCTTCTTCCAGATCTTATCTACGTGTGATAAGACGAGTGTAAAGCCAATCGTAATATATCTCAAAAGAAGCCGCACTCAATTCGCGCAATGACGCCCGTTGATGGAGTTTGTGCTCACTCCATTTTTGTCGGCACAATGGACATGGTGCAGGTCCTCCTTCGGTTGGCTGACGTCTCCATTGATTGATGCACCCGAGATGAAAATTTCCCCCACAACTATTGCAGAATGTAATATCTTGAATATTGAGATCTAGGCCTCCATGGCAAATGGGGCAGTTGCCCTCAATATCTTGTCTTCTTGGCTGGAACTTTCGTCGAAAGAATTTTGAGTGGGCGCAAAGAAGGTCTGTGTGTATAGCGAATGTCTTTGTTGACCTTGGGAAACTCAATCGCACAATACCCTGACCATGCCTAACTTGGGATTAGTTTTTTTTTGATATTTTCTCAAATTGCAATAAAATGGCATTGCGTTTGCTATAACTCGAAGTCGGATAACTGGATTGTAGATTGAACTTACTTCATGATTCCCTTGCTCGGCACTAAGCAGATATCTCTGTTCCACAACGACGGTGCAACAGCTCGATGTCAAAGTCTGTGGGTTGATAAGGTATAGGCAAATGTTTGAAGATGTCAAGTGGACGAAAGGTGGAAGGAAGGAACGAGCGAGGCAGACAATATTTATATACCTCGGTCGCAACAAGATCAAGAGCTTTCACCCTCGCAGATGAGAGAGCCGGCTGCCTACTGGTGATTGTACCGACCCCTTCTCTCAATACAGTAAAGTAAAATCCAAACTGAAAAGATTGAAACCGATTGCAGCTAATCTAATGTAGCCTGGAGAGGTTGAGAAAGCATTGAACGCAGTCGAACTTTATCTCACTCTCACCTTCCCGAAGAAGCTGAAACTAAGCAATTAGTGCAGCCAGCGGTAAACTAAAAGCAAATGGACTGGGGAGAGAATACAAAAGTAAATGTAAGAGATGATTGTCTAGTTGTGAGAGGAATTTACGACATGTATAGTGAACTGAGTCAAGGCACGATGCTAGAATGAGTCTCAGGCTACGATACGAGTGCACATGATAAACAAGTATGATGTAATGATTCATATAGCACTTTGTTGAACCCAGGAATGATTGTGCCAAGTATGTACGGCAAGCCCTCCCTCATTCATTCCATTTACTTGAAACTCAAGGACGATACGCAATCTTGCTTCCGAGTACCACATCTATGGAGAACCAAAGATTGCGAGACCATGTAAAGTGATGCTACTACAAAATCTTTCCATTGCATAGTCTTCAGTTAAGAGGAGAAGATACACGTGAATCTCTTCATGTTACACGTGTTGGTTGTCGAAGAAGATGTAATCAGCGCGTATGCACCTCCGTTGAAAATTCTTCCTACACTTCGTTCGAGTAAATTTCTTCTTTGGTCCTTGTCATCCATTCGTCGGAAACTTCATCGAAGGACATTATATCTACCGATTTGTTCAGTCTGTCCATCAAAACTAGAAGAAAAATAGTTGGGCAGGCCTCCCATGTGGTCTGAAAAGCAGCTCTCGTCATGATGTGCCAGGACAACATCGATCACAAGCTTCCGAATCTCATCGCAGCAATTTTGCTCCATGAAAGCCTAGTCTACGCTTTCCATGCCAAACAGTGCGTTCGACTTGTCGAAAACTGCATGTGTAACCTCCAATTTGAATAGAGCGTCTTTGAAGGCGTTGGCAACGGCCCACAGTTTGAGCAAGATGAGATTGAAAAGATCGGTTCTCTTTAAGATCACTGCCGGAATTTCAAATGTAGATGCGTATACCCAGTCCATGTAAATCTGCACAACCTCGGCATCGATTTTAGTCTCTGCGTCCAGATTGGAGAGGGGTGAGTCTGTCTTCCAGCTGACGCGGCACATTGGACAGTTTGCTGGTGAATTCTTTCTCCTAGCGGTTCTTCTATAGTTCTTCCAGGTCTCCATACATGATTCATGGAAATTTTCGCCGCATTCGGTGCAGAAGGAGATGTCTTTGACGACGGGATCGAGGGTATCGGTGCAGATGCAACATTGGTCAGTTGGGGACGTGGGTTTGCAATATTTTTGGAGACGGTCTCTGAAGCATCTTGAGGTCTTGCATATGCGATCTAAATTGTAGGAGCTGATCAGCTTGAGGCTGATATTCTGGCGTGATGGAGTTTGAGTACCTTCGTGGACACTGAAGCATCGTTTTATATTGGAAACCTTGAAGTGAACAATCCTGTTGCCGACACTTGCAGATATCAGCATCCGATTGATCTGCGGTAGAAGAATCAATGATAATACCTGATTAATTCCAGCTTTCTGGAAGCGCCTTGGGACCTGGTAGGCGCCATATTTGTAGGTGGAAATGCCGTCAATGATGACAGCGGGGAGTGGAAAGAAACAAGGTATGTGATGTGGGAAAAGCTATAGCCAAACCGACGGTGTGAAAGTGAGACCTTTAGTAGATCGTTTTGTACTGGTGAACCGAGATTCCCGGTGAGAGCATTGTATGAAGACCACAGGAGCACATTACTACTTTCAGGTTGTGCCAAGACACTAGGCTGGTACGACGAGTGATCACGGTGAATCGGGTTCCTTTTTTTCCAATTTACTAGGTTGAAACATCTTTCATAGCTTCTTGTAAACCTTCGGCATCGCCATCCGCAAGCCATGTGCCCATGTTGCAATCGCTCATAAAACCTATGCTGCATTCTCGGAGGGCACAAGTAATGTAGGCTGAATCGAAACAGTTGTTTTCAAACTCTGCAAAAGAAGACAACCGTTCAGTAACTGCAGAATTTCCAGAATCAGCATCCTGAAGTATGTGTGTCACTTTCCAAGCCCCAAGTAGCTTCAAGTTGTAGTCGTCGACTCCATGAACAAAAGCTTTGCTGATTGAACCTCCTATCTTCTCTGTTGCACGGCAGCTCTTGCAAGGACTGTCTCGGTGGGTGATAGCGGAAGGTATTGCGATCATGATGAACGCATAATACCAGTGGTGATAACAATCGAGGTTATGAAGCCAACGCGCCGTCGTAACAAAAGCAGGTTGCAATGAGGAGGATCTCGCAATGGTCGCATGCGTTGAGAGAGTGCTACACAATAGATGAGAATCAAGAGCATCAACAACGATACGCACGTGCTGATCCAGCCAAAGTTGATGAATGGTAAGTGAAACATTTCATCGGGTATCTCATAGTTCCTGCCTCACGTGATCAGTGAAACAAGGTCGAACTTCCGCAATTCTTGCATAGCCATGGAAGACTCTTTCGGTTTTCATGCGCCGGGTCAAGATGCTGCCAGTATGAGGATCACACCAGGCATCATGCTGAGTAAAGACAAGTCGAAGCGAGGTTCAGACACCAATGTACCAAAGTTCGACACCCAGGACCTCAAATTTCTTGCCCTCGTCGCTGAGTGGTTCATTTCCAAATGTTGGACATGTGTCTGACACACCGTTCTCGAGATTGTCATCTAGCCACAGGCCGTAGTGGCCATCACTGCGATACTGTCAATATTGTCGTTCCCAAAGGATAGCAAATGTCAGCTTACCCTCCACCAACACTAAGATAGCTATGTTCGCAGAAAATCATGTAGTCATTCACTCCACTATAGGGGAATGCCTTGAATCTGATCCTCTCTGGTGTACTTGCACCACTTCTGGTCGCCTGACCATTCTCTGATAGGGCTAACTTATCGGCTTTTGTCTTTGGTGATGATATGGTTGTCATGCGAACAGCATTGGTTGTATCTTCTGAGGGAGGTGGTGGGAGATTCAATTGCAGATCTGGGAGACCAGCAAGAACGTGAGCGCGCCAGAGAAAGCATTCGCCGTTGCCATAAAACGACGAAGAAGGGTGGGGTGCGTCTGAGAGATAGGCACCGAAGGTCTGTGGCAACATATCAGTACTGTTTTTTTTTACTCGAGGAAGGCTGGGCGACTTACGCCTCCACTACCATCTCTGACCACAAGCACGAAGCCGCCTCTCCTCCCCCGGTATTCGTCAGCCTCTTTGTAAAGAGTCGCCAAGCTCACACCATTCTGCTCCAGGCTGTACGTCAGGCTCCATTCATCTACGAGTTGTAGCCTTGGCGGCAGGAGCAGCCTAATTTCTTCTGCCAGCGCTTTGCTTAGGAGCTTGCCATTTTCTCGCATTCCACTTCTCCACCCCTTTAAACTGAGCGGTGTCAACGGCGGCGGTTGGAAAGGGCTCGCTATGCGGTGTGTGGGTTGGAAGACGGCGTTCATGTCTGCGGAATCGGAGGAGACGAGGCTCGCGAGGGAGTGGGAGAGGGCAGAAGCAGTGGACTGCAGCTGTGCTGGTAGCCTGCCTATGCTGTTTCGGTTGCTGTTGCTGTCGGATTTTGAGTGAGGTCCTGGATTGGGACTGGATTCGGTGTTCAATCGCCGCAGGATGCCTGAGACGGCATATGAGACTGGGTATGTGAAGTAGGACGAGGAGCGATTTGGCGTGGCGCGATTTGGTGGCGGTGATGTTTGGGAGGATGAGGAGCGCAAGGGTGGAGACGACGGGGTTTCTTGTGCATGTGACATGACTGGCGGGTAGCAGCAATTGTAGCAGTGTGCCTGGATTAATGTGGGTCAAGTGTTGGAAGTGGTGTGCTGGGGTGGGCGTAGGTCAGAGCAGCTGTGACGTTGCGGAAAACTAGTGGGCTGACGGCTGTCTGGAGCCTCACACGGTATGCAAGGGGAGTGCGTGTTACATAAGCATCGTCTTGGAATGGGCTGATACATGTTTGGGGGCTACGCTGGAAGCCAGTGACAGCGAGCTACGATACGGGGATGCATGCTCAATGGTTGCGCGCCTCTCTGCTTCCTTGATGTGTAGGCGTGAGAGCGCGCTAGTACGGCGGTGGAAAGCTTGGTTCCCGCTACCCGCTAAGGCTGACCTTGAGCCGTCCATGGGGAATCGGCACAACCTTTGCATTGCATGCGGCCATTGGATACAAATGGCTAAGCCCGGAATCGCGGAAAGCCATGCTTCAGAGAAACACTGTCACTCCCTCACTTGATAGAGAATTCGGCATTGGGGACCCGGCCATGTTGCCCCCGCTTCTGCCAGCATGCAGTGCAATTAATACACCACTTTGCCTTGACTACTACCTCTGTTGGCCCCCAGATGTGTGCTAATCAATCCTGTCTATTCGCAACACCATGGCAGGTGACTTTATCCAATAGAGTATCCTTATGTAGCTTTGGCGGGTTCTGTCATAAGTTGCTCGTTCACTGCTTCTGCCTCTTCCGCCGCATCCGCATCCGCATCCGCAAGCTCACAATCTCCAGCATCTTTCCCGTCGTCTTCAGCAGCCCCTGCTTCCTCTCCGTTCTCCATGTCACTCTTCAACTTGGCGCCTTTTCGCTCTGGCATAACAGCCATGAAAGCCTTGCCCCAATCCCCAAACTCCATCCATTTGAGCATAATCTCCAAGACGTGATTCGTGACCAGGACTTGTCGACTCTTCATTTCCAAATATTGGCCAATAGGTAGTTTTGCCGTCTTGATACCACGACTGACAGCTCGCTTGTGGCAGACGCCTTTGTGCCGGTTCTTATCCACTAGACCCCCAATAATGTAGGTACTATTTGGCTTGAGATGTGTTAAGATCTCGTCCGACTCAGATGAAAGATAGACAATCTCTCCTTCCTCTGCATCTTCCGTGCTTTCTTGTTCACCAGACTTATCCGCTTCTTGAGACGTCTTCAATGCGCCGGCCACCTCCCCTCCTTCCGGCCCACTCATCCATTCTTTCGCCTTCTCCGCCACTTCCACAAAGTCTTCTTCAAAGAATCGGAAGCCTTTCCAGCTGGTATATTGCTTTGCGAGAATACCATCGAAACGCTCCTTCATCTTGCCTCCAAAGCTACTTAATGCTAAATGCGCTCTGAAGTCTGCCTTTCGGTTGTCGCTGTAGCATCTCGTAATCTGCAACCCCAAGCTCTTAAGTTCATTGTCAAACATGAGCTCCTCAAAGTCGCAGTCGAAGATGACAGTGATGGGTACTTGCTTTCCAGGTCCTGCTGAATGCCTGGGAGGACGTGCCGGTAGCAGCCTTGGTTTGTTGCCATTTTCGTCTACGGGCATCTGTGCCAAAGCCTCTCTTCGCCGCTCTTTCTTTTCTTTGACCTTCTCTTTTCGCTTCAATTTACGATCTTCTCGCCCCGCTTCCCAGCGTTCATGCCGCCGTTGCTTCTTGAGTTGGTTCTTCGATAACTTTGGCTCTCCAATTTCCTTCTCAGTAACTGTCTCAATTGAAGATTCAGCGCTGCCAACTGTTCCCTCATTCTCGGTGTTCGTGAAGACATGATCTGTGGGTGTCGTGACTGCGGGTGCATCTTTGATAATTTCATCACCACTTGCAAAGTCCAACTTGCGCATCTTTGCAGGCCGCTCCTCTGAATCCATCTTTTTGCAGTTTTTAGTGAATGGTTGAAAATCTGTCGAAAAGACGCTCACCCACTCATCGTCGACAAAATTATGCTCGCTCACATCTTAGCGCGCCAAGCCACGCCCTGGTCATGGCAGTGTCCCGAGCTGGAACCTCAGTTGACGTCTCCGCATTCACGATACCCTTCCAACACCAATTGAACCACGAACACAACCGCCCATCATGCCGCAGGATATGCCGCCACAGGGCGGCTACAGCCCCGTCCAGTACAAGCGCAACTTGCCTGTTCGAGGCTTCCGTCCCGCCGCATACATTATCGGAACCGCGGCACTCATGACATACGGATTCTGGAGGGTTGGCCAGGGTATCAGGGAGCACAAGTACGCGGCATTCCCCTCAAAAGATAGATTGGCGATTTCATCGCTCGGGACTAAATGCTGACATCTGACAGCGAACTCGCGCGCGAGAAGATGTGGGCGCGGATACACCTTATCCCAGCACTACAAGCAGAGGAAGACCGTGACCAAGTGCGAAGATATCTGGCCGACAAGGCAAGGGAGAAGGAACTATTGGGAACAGAGACAAAAGTCTATAACAGCGACAGGTATGTATCGAACGGACCTGTGATGCTTGCACGAGCATTGACTAACTGCGCGGATACAGATTTGTTCGACCTACATTTGCCATCACACCCGAGTACGAGAGCAAATAGGGACCGGAGTATCGCTGTACATATCATGATGAAATTAATGGTCTCTGTCCAGCTTGATATTCATCATCTCTTTAGAGGCAAGCCGAGAATACATTTATTCGCTCAAGGACTTGATGTTCGTACACGGACCTAGATGTGAACATGGGAATTTCGTCATCGCAGAGATCCAGTTGCTCAAATGCTATGGCTGTGGAACAGCTGTGGCTTTGATGGTGATGCTGAGTGTTGGACCATCTGCGACAGGCTTGTGTATTTTCTGCTGAGCTGAATTGCACTTTGCAGATCTTCTGTATTGACGAACGGCAGTTCACGCAACAACTTAACCACTTCAACGCGCTGCTCTGAGCAAGTGGTGCGATACACTACAAAATCTCCGTCTGTTCTCCCCTGTCTCACCATATCAACCATGCGCTCTCTTTCAATTTCATCTGTACAATATCATGTCACATTGATTTACCTCGGGAAGATAGTGCGGTGTTATGTCTGACTAGACTGTTCACAAAATCTTTCGCCGCTTCTAAAGACACAGTGTTCGCGCCCATATTGACTTACATTCATCCCACAGCGACTACTAGTGATGTCATTTTCACTCATGTTGAGGATGACCAGGAAATCATCATAGCCAAGGGAACTGATGCCTTTTGAATTGACTGTTCCACTCGCTACCTTGGCTCGCCACCAATACAGCGTCGGCATATCTTCCTCGCAGCCATACCCAAATCCTCATGTCTACTTATACACGTTGCAACCGTTGGCCATGGACAACGCTGCACTCATTGATTGACTCGGTAAATTGATAGTGCTTGCATATATGAGATTGCGCATTATATCCTCAACTGCAATTTTGGGTCGAGTAACGGAGCATTTTGCCTGTAAAATAATTCTGATTAAGCCGGAGGCCTTGACATACCTCCTACAAAATATTCATAATTTGATTAAGATACGCAGAATCTATTCCGACATGACGCGCGAAGTCTGGAATAATAGTTAGTGCTCGATTATAATGGAAAGTGATACATATCATTCCAACTGGATGGCGTTTTCAGATGATCAGAAGTATGGAGGCCGACCGTCAACGCAGATATGCATAGATAGGGCAAAAGGCAAACGGGGGCTGTTGCATTGGCCAGCCTTAGCTTGGGAGGTGGTAACGGTGTATTTGGTAATGCAAAGGGCCTGCACAAGTCGCTTGAGAGCGTACGAGATTTTAACTGATGCTGCATTATGATTATTTCCAATACGTTGCTTTGAGTAAATGCACTAAAGAAAATGTGGTTGGCTTGCCATGTGCCAGCATATGGTGTCCTATGAAAGGTGACGCAATGTGTCCTGGCCTACAACCATCAGCGTATTGGAAATGAAGGCTTTGCAGTCACGGCATCGATCCAACCCAGGGGCTTCCACTTCGGCTTCGTGTATTTTTTCAGGAGAGTTTCACTTTGGAACCTCGGTACAGTATCTACGTATTGCTGTACCAATAATATAGCTTGCTAATGGACGTATACTCATTGATCAGTCGTCGGCTGTGGTGGCATCATAGGCAGCAACTCAGCGACCCATAATCGCACTGAGAACACGTAGCGTCGCATAGCGTACGCATGCGTATAAATATCATGTTCCTCGCATGTCCATCTGTTTAATATGATCTTTCATATCTTATCCCTTCAACCTCCTCTCTATTACACATCTCTTCTGGCAATTATGCCGCCCTTCTCTTTCTACCTGTTATTGACGTAGCCTACCCTCGAGCGGCCAAATCTATCGTATCAACAGCCGATCTTAGTCGGCATAGATTTCAACGCAATAGTTGTTTTCTACAATATACAACACTGGATACCTTTCTGGCTATATGATATTTACCTTTATCTATTACCGGGCTTCTGTTACACTGGATACCTGTCTGGAAGTTGCTTTATGGCGACCATTCGCTCCAGCAAAACATACCAACCAGTTACAACTTGGAGAATCCCAGCACGGCTACGCGACCCTTTTCGATAACGCAGAAGCATACGCAGCTATGCATATATGGATGTCCATAAATTCGCCATATCTTCTGTCCGTCTCTCTCATCTCATCACTGCAGCACAATCATTCAAACTTGATCTCGAAGTACCTCCCATCAACACCATGACGAAATTGTATTCTTGGCTCTTATCCCATTTCTCTTTCTATCTTATATCGATGAAGACCACCAATTCCCCACATACTACGATGGCTTCCTTTAATCCTCCACCTAAAAAGATCCACGACGACATGGAGAGGTGGATCATGGATAGGTTCGACAGACTAGAAGCTGGCCCAGACTCTACTGGCCTAATTTATCTGAGTGATACATAGTATATATTAAGGAGGCTATCAGAATCAGGACTTGAGCCGGAAACTCGCCGGTGGCTTCAAGAAGACATCGACCACCCCCTCCAGGCTATGAACGCTATATATCAAACCGATCGGCAGAGGAACTTCGCTGAGAGGCTGTGGTCGGAGGAGAGCAAAGAATAGATGGGCATGGTGCTTTGGTTCTATGGCAAAGAGCTGGGTGTTCGCTAGGAGTATAAGGATGAGAATGGCGTCGCAGACATGTCGTTCAGATTGGTGCGAGACGGTGTCGATAGACAGAGTCAGAGACTTTTATCTGCTGCACCTATTGGTTCCCATGAAGACCAGCGGGCGCAAGGGCAGTTGCACTGCTTTTACCAACGACATGGACGCACTCGACATTCATGCATTCAACACGATAACAATACTTTAGGTGGAGGGATCTAGTAAAGAAAGTCGCGAACAGCTTTGCCAAAATATAGTATATATTAAGGAGACTTGTAGGTGGCTGGAACAAAACATCACTGGTATAACAAAGCCCATCACTATATGAAACCCGACGAAGGCGCAGAAGAGGTTTGGGAACAGGCTTTGGAGCAAAGAGAGCCAGGCATGAATGAGGGCGACGCTGTATGTCATCCGAGAATATCTGGACGGTTGGCAGGAATGAGCCGGAGGAAGTTGCATGATATGCTGCGGCCATTCTGGTGGAGCAGATATGTCGTTCGAATCGGCGTGTGACGGTGTCGATGGACAGAGTTGGAGACTGTTGTCATCTGCTATACCTATTAATTTCCATAGGCCAGACTCTACTAGCCTGATCGATCTGAAAAGTCTCCGGCGAATGGACGAGTGCGCATTCGCCGGATACTTCTCAAGTCGATAAGGCTAGTAGAGTTCAGGCTTGCTTCTACTCTATCGAAGCTATCGATTATCTACCTCCATATATCTCTGAGGATTCCTTAAGATAGTTCATACAAAAAAAGCTATTGTATGATTTGGAGATATAGTTGTCTCCATTAATAGTTAAAAAGATACAAATAAAGGTCAGAAATAGAAAAGAAAGATCAATATTATTATGAGCTGATCTAATGAAGTATCATGTGGACGGGTGAGTGGAATGCTGGGCTACAATATAAGTCTCAAGTGTAGATGTTCGTAATATATTATTACCATAATCGATCCACAGAAGGGATGACAAGAGAGAAGAGAGGGGAATGATGCCAGCGAAGTTCATCATGATGGAATACCATATCATTAGTCAAGCATAGTGTATGCTTATTCATGCAGCTTCGCTGAGCCGGTCTTAGATAGATTGCTTGCTCCAACGCCTAAAGCTTTCCTGGATTGACGCCCCAACCATGCAAAGTGCCCAATGGTTGCAGACTCATCAGGCGTATCTGGTGGTAAGCGAGTCTTTGGCAAACAATTTCCAACTTGTCGCACACGATATCTTAAGTTTTAGAGCCTGATGGTAGAGCTTCGAACCAAGCCTGACAGAGCGCATATCCGATGAGTACTTGTTGTCGATGAAAGCTTCGACCAAATTATTCCCGAATGTAAATAGCATATGGGACAGAACAGTGACCCAACTCTTGTTTTCATGTTTTCACCACATGTTTGCCACTAAGCGGCGAGCGGGTGAGTACTCGGGGATACCCGTGTACATGATGGTGGATGTACTGACGCTTGGTTCCCAACGATTGCCAGTGTTACCGATGGGTCTCGCCTCGACAAGAGCATCTACGACGGCATTCTTGAAGCCATTGTCCATGAGTTTTCATCGAGGAGATCGACGATGCGAGACGAGAACAGTGGCTGGGACGAGATTTGCTCCAGGGCTTTTTCAAAGAATTTTGAACTTTTGCGAAGCCTAGCTAAGTGGGCTGTATATTGTTCTTGAGTGGTTACAACACTGATTATGACACTGTCGAACATGCTAGAAAAGGGCTGGTGGTATGGATGTTGTATGCAAATGTTCAGCTCACTTAGAAGCAGCCTTCCGCAGAATGCGCCCATACTGTGACTTGGGGTTGGTAGACATATTCTCGGTCTGTGTTGGATAGAGTGTCCAGAAACGGAGTTGAAAGAGGCGATCGGCTGCTTGGAAAAGGCTGAGCAATAATAGAAGAAGATCAATGCAGGAATGAGCCAAGTCCGGGTCCAGGGAAGGTGAGAGTGAAGGTAAAGGTAAAGGGGAAGGGGAAGAGATGGCGACCAACTTTGGCCGTGACCGTAGCCAGGCCAGCACCTCTTCCGTCTCTTGTATTGTTGTACAGTATAGTAGTACAGTGGCTGCTCGTTAGTCTCATGACCATCGAATCTTGTTCTTCCACTGGTCGACCTTGGACTGCCACCATGTCTTGTTGGGGGCGCGGTCGATTTCTTCCATCAACTTCGTGTAGTGCTCGGGAGCGGACGTCGGCTTGAACATGGCCGGTGACAGGGCATATTTTGTGGTATATCTGTTCTCGAGCAACGAGTAGAGGGCGTTTACTTGGGCCTGCTCGAGTTTGGGATTTGGTGGGGGTGAAGAAGTGGCTGGAGCTGTGGCTGAGGCTGCTGGCGACTGTGGCTTGGGGGCGTCATCGGAGGGAGGAGTGATGGGCTGCACACCAAAAGGCTGGCCGTGGTGCTCAATTGCGCGGGTGAAGGGCAGGTTTGGGCGCAGGGCATCCTTTGGCCAGAGAGTGAGGAGGCGCGTGTATTGCTTTGCTATCTTGAAATGAAACGATGAGCTGTGGGCACGTGACGGCGTTGGAAGAAGGTTTGCTTACTGTTGTTGTCATGGTTGTGTGTGTGTGTGTGTGTGTGTGAAAGAGAGAGAGAGAGGGAGGGAGATAGAGAGTGATTGAAAGATGCAGTACAGTAGCAGTCCAGTCAATGTGTGTGTATGTCGGGGTGGGTGAATGTCAAAGAAGATCAAAGACCATGGCCAAGAGTGCAAATCCTGTCATCGATGATGCTTTCTCTCTCTAGCACAAGCAGCCGGGGTCGGGAGCAGCGGGTCTGTGCGGACAGAGAGAGGGGGGGCGTGGCGCAGCACCCGCACTTCCATGGCCCAGAAGAGACAAGGCAGGGCGCGGTGCATTTGAAACGCCGCCTCTCACTCTACTGCTGCGCTTGCCGCCTGACACGCCTCTGCTTTGCTTTGCTCTGCTCTGCTTTGCTTTGCCGCCCTCCGTCCACTCTCTACGCTCGCTGTCCTGCTCCTTTTCTCCTCTTCTTCCTCTGCCTGCGCCTGCCGACTCTCAACACCAGAACTGCCCCCTACGCCTCCTCATCGCTGCATCCGACCCTGCGCCACCGCGTCTGCCTGCTGCACACCATGCCCAGCCAGCGCTACGAGAGGGTATGCTCCCCTGCCTCAGGTCGTGGGGAACGCATCGTGCCACTGCGCAAACCTCCCCCGACTCGTTGCTCTCACGACACCCAAACTAACACAGGCCTCAGGTAGCCGCCCAGGACGAAGACGACTCTCACGCATCGTCGACATCGGCCCAGCAGTGGCCCCCGGCCTCGCCACCACCCTCCTTTCACTCGCGCGCATCATCCCCCAATGGAACCACACGACGCCTCTTAGCACAGGACCCGGCACCCACGGATGAAGACCGCACTCTCGCAGACACATTTGATTCCGACTCAGACGACGACGACGATGACAATGGCGACGATCGACAGCGCTTGATGCGGGGAAACCCCCGAAGCGAGGACGAGCCTCCAGCCCCCGGCATCCAAAGACGAGTCACCGAACTGCCAGTATTCAACACACAGGCTCCCACCAGTGGCCGCGTCTACGGCGGTGGCAATGGCGGCGTGTGGGCAAATCTCAGCGCAAAGCCAACTCGGGGTGAGGATGCCGAGGAGAAGCCTCCGGTACGTCTTGTGTATCACCATCTCAATTTGTCCATCCCCCATTAACACCACTCCAGACATACGAACAAGCCGCCGCAGATGCAACACCGCCTTACTGGGAAACAACCATCCTCGCCCCCGGCACCTTTGGCGACGAAGTTTTTGTCGAGGGCCTTCCCGTAGGTTCCCTCTTCAGTTTCCTCTGGAACGCCATGATTTCCATGTCCTTCCAACTCGTCGGCTTCCTGCTTACCTACCTGCTCCACACCACCCACGCTGCAAAGAATGGTTCCCGTGCTGGTCTTGGCATCACACTTGTGCAGTTTGGCTTCGGTTTCCGCTCTGCAGTACTCAACCCCAGCAACGGCAGCAACGACAACCCAGGCCAAGGCTTCAACGGCGGCGTTCCAAGCGATCCAAACTCGCACGACTTTGACCCGGACAAGGTCAGCACGGGCGGCTCTGCCGGCACTGGTGGTGACTCGACGCCTGCGTCAAGTGCCATTACCGGCAGCGATTGGGTAGCCTATGGCCTAATGATTGTTGGCTGGTTCATTTTGATCAAGAGTGTGTCAGACTTCATTCGCGCCAGGCGGCACGAACAGCTGGTTCTCCAGTCTCCAGATCGTGGCTTGGGTGTTGCTGTAGTTGCCGAGGGGGAAAGTCCAGAGCGCAGTGTATAGAACCTTTCTATTTCTCGCTCTTCTTTTTTTTCACTATCTCTCCATATGACATATAGCCTCTGATTGGCAAACTATTTCCCCTTTATTGTCTTGTCACGCCCACTCAGAGACTCTCCCTCTCTCACACATACATACACAGCGTATTCCCTAGTTTGCATCTTGAATCGGAGTTTTGATATTTCCAGGGTAGGGGTCAACAGGAAGCAAAGACACATCAGGTCCTTGTACATCAGCCATGGCTGTTCTGTCTGTAGCACGCATCAACTACAACGTTTTTTTTCCTCTACTATTCCAACCTCATACTTGCCATTTGACTGTGTTTATGCCATTATTTTAGTCAGGTGAAGTGTATGATTGCAAGCACAGAGTGATGCTGACCATGGTGGTGTACATGAAGCTGTATACTAAGAGAAAAAAAAAAGTCTATTACTGTTGCTGACAGTCGAAATTGTAAGAGCAAAAAAGGGGGTATCTGGATGCAAGAAGGGGAAATAAAAAAAAATTCCAAAGCGGGAAAAGAAGAATAATACCGCCCCAGTCCCTGAAATATCTTTTGTGAAACATTGCACCCAGCCGCCTCTGTTGCTGGACTACGAGTGCATAGATCACATGTTACTTTTCTTCTTTCTGCTCACATTACGTTGCACTTTTCATTGGCATACACCTCGCCATACTGGTCCACACCGGCCATCTTTTCATTGTACCGCTGCTTGTCCTTGACTTCCTCGGGGAACCATTTCTTAAGAAATGCCGCCTTTTCCGTGTCTAGGTTGTCTATGGGGTAATGACTTGGTTAGTTTTTGGTACAGACAAAGCAAAGAAGAAAACAACAAAATCAACAAAGACTCACCAGAATTGGCATCAAATATTGTCTTTTGCCTGCAAAACGGACAGTTGTACTGCTTGTTGTTCTGCATGACAATCAAGCATCGGATGCAAAACGTATGGTTGCAGCTCAGCTTGACGGGCCGCCATTGAATCTCCATGCACATGGGGCACGAGTAGTCGTCAATTTGCGGCACATGCGACAGAATCTGTGTGTTGACCTCTGCGCATACCGCCTTGGCTAGGTGCTCCGAGAATTCTGGATACTCGACTTGACGCGGAAACGTGGACTTTACCCCCAGCGCTGTACGCTTGTCGAATTCTGTAGAAATATTAGTCGGTAATTGTCATGCTGTGCTTTGAGACAGGCCTCTCGAACCAGGATAAAAACAACCGGGGGGAGAATGACATACTCTTCAAAATCTTCATCATGGCATTATGGTTAATTTCGCCGAATCGTAGGCCCTGCAGAATCTCGCGGTTAATGTGCATAAACGTATTGAGGGCGGTCAAGTTGTCCTTCTTCTTCAATTGCTCGACGAGACCGGCCTTTGCAATCTTGTTGGAAAAAGTGGCGAGCCGTGCCATTGCTTTTTCCGAATCATGCGACTTGTGATCAAGCTCCGTTGTGCCAAAGAAGATGCCCTCTTCGACATAAATCTGGAAGATTTTGCGCCAAGTGGTGAGCATCTTCCTTGTTGTTCGCCGGTCCGGGTCTGTCAGCTTGGCAACCTGCTTGCCGAGAGCTTCAATCTGGACATTCATTCTCTTCTGCTCTCGCTCCTGCAGCCTCTCGAGCCCAGAGACCTCGCTGGTGAGACGAGTGAAGAATTCCGTGTCGGAAGTGATTGGCACTAGGACGGTGCGACAGCCAGGTCGATTGCCGGGCGTGTTTGCAGTCGTGGGGGATTCGGGAGTGTCTGCAGAGTGACAGGACAAGTCGGAGTCGTCGAGCACGCGCATGTCGGACATGCCCGTCTCAACGGCCAGCAGATGCAGCTTGTTCCTCGTATCATTGTCAAGTTTGGCGCCCATGATCTCTCCGCTCGTCTCATCTACATAGAAGAGGAGCTTTGGGTGAAAGGCCTTTGGCGACTGTGAGGCGCCGTTGTCATCATCATCATCATAGGAGCCGTGGGGATTGAGAATGTACTCAAAGGGCCGTTCCTGGTCGTCATGGTGCTCGGTCGAGGCATTGTAGTCCTCGACATGCCTGAGCAGCTTGGACAGTGTGGGCGGGTCTAGGCCGACCTGCTGCAGCTCGTCGGTCAGCCTCTTGATGCATTTCTTGAGCTGCGAGTAGGAGATAGCCGAGTCGACCCAGTCGGGCGGGAATCCTTCGTCCCGCAGGGTCTGCTTGAAGACATGGCCGAACTTCATGGCTGGCCAGCTATTACTATATGTAGTATGCGTGTACCAGGGAAGCTGGAGCCGATGGGCAGGAAGCGTCGACAGGGCTGGCCGGTCAGAGGAGGCGGACGGCGCACGTGGGGGAGATGAGTGGTTCAGAGGCCGGGCGGGGTCCGTGGCGAACCAAAGCAGAAGAAAACGCTGCCAAAGCCCTGATGCAGTTCCGTGGGCCGTGTGGCTGGGGCGTGGCTGTGATGACCGGCCTGGATGCGCCTCACTAGGTAGTATGTAGTAGCGAGTGTGTACGCAGAATGCACTGTGTCGTTGTGGGAGTGGGTATGTAGTAAGGAGGAGTGAGTACGGGGGGTGCCTGGGGCGGTCGACGGTAAGCACCAGAGGAAAACGAGAGAGAATATGGCGCCGACAAATGAGCGATTAACGACGTTCCAGCCAACTCGAGCAACAACGGACTTGTGTTCTGTTTGCCATACACACACACACACACGTACGTTGGGTCGCTGTGAGTTGGATACGGCAATGCCTACTGAAAATGCTTCTTCCGTCCAACACGTGGGAAAGCGGCGCTTTTAAACAGAAACGCAGAAAAAAACCGAACATGCATACTTTTGCACCGGTCGTCGGTCGCCTGTCGCCTCGCTAGACGTGCGGTGGCTTGTTGATATAGCGCGGCCTCGTTCGCTCCTGGTCACTTCTGCGTACAACTTTTTCGCCTGCGCCACCGTCCACCAATCAGCGGCCAGTCGCCGCACAGTCATCGCCGCGTCTCGGTGATGACGCAACTCTGCCTCTTAACGACTCATCCATGCACATGTGCGACAAAACCACACTTGCCATGCCTTGGGCGCATCCCACTTGCTAAGCCCAGGGAAGCTCAAAAGGCAGCCATAGTGTGGCAAGGGCGCTTCGCCAGGTTTCCGGGAAGATATACTACCATACACACATACATAGACCCACCCAGACTAGTAGACAACCTCGACCACGGCAACACAGAATCAAGCCAGAGGAAGTACCAACACCACAAACACTCATTTAGACGTTTGCTATAGATCCCACCAGATAGAGTCGACACGCTCAGCATGGGCGCATCGCAGTCGTCTCAAGGCGACGAGGCGTCCGCAGGTGGCCAGGTCAAGACGAGCTACTATGAATTGCTAGGAGTGGAGCGCAATGCCACCCAAGACGAGTGCGTCACCATGGCCTCTTCGACCCTTCACTACTGATCCCTCGCAGGCTCAAGAAAGCATACCGCAAGAAAGCCCTCGAACTTCATCCCGACCGCAACTATGGCGATGTCGAACGCACTACTGCTCTCTTCGCCGAGGTGCGAGCCGCTTACGAAGTCCTATCAGACGACCAGGAGCGCGCATGGTACGACGCCCACGAGGGAAGCATCCTAAGAGGGGGCACTGGAGAGGAAGATGCTGGCGAGCACTACCAGGGCAGCATGCGTGTCACCACCGCAGACGACCTGGCGCGCATGATGGGCAAGTTCCGAGGAAACGTAGACTTTTCCGACTCACCCAACGGCTTCTTTGGCTTTGTCAGAGAGACATTCGAGCAGCTCGCTCGCGAGGAAGAATATGCAGCAGACTACGAAGACATCAATATACCAAACTACCCCTCGTTTGGCCATAAGGAAGACACCTACGACGGTGTCGTGCGTGACTTCTATGCCGCCTGGAATGGATTCGCTACAGCCAAGAGCTTTGCATGGTTGGACATGTACCAACTGTCCCATGCCCCCGATCGCCGCACGCGCAGACTGATGGAGAAAGAAAACCAAAAGCTTCGCGATGACGGTAGACGAGAGTTCAACGATGCTGTCCGGACGCTGGTCGCCTTTGTACGCAAGCGAGATCCACGCTACACGCCCAACAGCCAGACGGATGAGGACAAGGCCAAGGCGCAACGGGACGCGCGCAAGGCCCAGGCTGCACGAGCAAGGGCTGCTCAGATTGCCAAGATGGAAGAGGAGGCGCAAGCAGTCCCAGATTGGGCCACAGCACGTCCGGATGACGAGCTGGACGAGGAGAGTGAAGAGGAAATCCAAGAGGAGCACTACGAGTGCGTAGCCTGTAACAAGACGTTCAAGAGTGAGCGGCAGTACGACGCGCACGAAAAGAGCAAGAAGCATCAAAAGTCCATACAAGCACTGAAAAGGAAGATGCAAAAGGACAATGCAAATCTCGACTTAAGCCAGGATGCTCTGAAAGAGAATGTTGTAACACTAGCAGATGCAGATCTTGAAACAGATGCCACTACTCCAGAAATGAACGGTTCGGATGGGTTCGTTGAAGAGGTTACGGAGAAGACGGGCAAACTTGGAGTGGGAGATGACAACACAGACGAGGAAGAGCTACAGTTGACGGAAAATGCGTCCGACAACAAAGCCACCGAGCCACACACCACCTCTGGACCAGCATCGGCATACAGTGACGACGACGATGTTGATGATGATGAGGAAGACGACGAATATGCCTCGCGGTCGGAAATTGAAGCTCGTCTGGCAGGTTTCAGTAGCAAAGAGTCGCCTAATGCCAAACCCGTTGAGGAGCTTGAGATCAAGTCGACGGATGATGCACAGTCAGAAGGCGTTGCAGCGACACAGCCCAAAATGGGCAAGGCTGCACAGAAGCGGGCAAAAAAGGCGGCCAAACAAGCAGAAGTGGACGATAGTAACGCAAAGATGAAGTGCGCCGGGTGCAATGCGGGATTTCCATCCAAGACCCAACTGCATCAACACTTGAAAGACCATCCCGGACATGCCGCGCTCAAGTCTGTAGCTGGCGGGGGCAAAAAAGGAAAGAAGCGGTAGAGCATGTGATTGATTGCATGAGCTATGATGGATATCGAGAGCACATTTTGCATCGGGCAGTGTCATTGGTGTATTTGTATGGCTTCAGCATAGCGTAGGCGTTTGATAGAAAAGTTTGTGCTCAGCCTGGTGGGCTTTTGGAGCAGCATTTACGTATCGACATAGATTCTTTTTGTTTTACTTTAGTTTTAACAGGTGTCTATGTCTTGACGTGCGGATGATAGTATAGTGTTGGCTTGCTTTTTTACACTTGCTTTGCAAGGTAGTCATGTTTTGTTGTCCATGGAGCGTTCCAGATGGCTGGGGCCGTGTTCAAGAAGCTGCTGTGTTGTGCTTGTGCGTTTAGAGTCCAAGTAGACGTGTAGGTAAGTTTAACGACATTGACTTTTATCAATTGCTTGGTTGGGACAATGCATGTCTCCGATCTCGTCTAGACTCTTGAGCTCATATTGGTATGTGTTCTTGGAAGCTACTAGGTACGCGGCTATTCCGGGCTAGCTCTCACACGTGGCGTTGGGTTGATCAAGTGCGCGGTACCTTTTCGGTGGCTCTCTGAGTTTCTGGAATGTAACGATACAATTACACCGGCAACTAGCTCGTCACATGGTACCTTGGGCGCCATATTGCCACAACACTCGACTTGTGGCATGTATGGACGTGTACATTATCTCAACAAATAGACTGAAGAAAAGAAAAACATTTCATTCGTATTGCTAGCACGGGTGAACCAGCGTTGCGATGGAGGCAGATGGCGACTGCGTACGTGTGTACGTAAGAACAAAAAGACCGTCTGCGGAGTCAGCTAAGCGCGTATATGCTCATCGACCGGATCAGTCTTGGCAGAGGTTATGGTCCCCTGCTGGCTGGCTGGCTGGCTGGCTGGCTGACTGACTGAGAATCTCGAGCACAGTGGACACGTCCGCACCTCAACCGTACGATTCGGCACATTCGGTCGCGTGCAGGTCATGGTATTAGGTTCATGGCAGTGACACCCCGTGGCGGATTTGGCGTGGCAGGCGTATCAAGGGCTCTGCTGTGTCGGCAGACTGGCCGTATGTTTGTGGGCACGTAAGCACATGTAGATACACACACATACACGTGCATTTACTTAGAGTACATGTATATAAAAATGTACGTAGTTGTTGGGACGGGTGCCGTGGCGAGTGACATGGACATTGGGAACAGCACTCTGGCGAAACAAAGGTGGAGACCTTGGGCAGTCGGAGGATGCTAAACGGCGAGCAACGGCAGCAGAAGCCCCCTTTGCAGTGCAGGGGATGGAAGGATTTGTCGCCGTAAGAAGATGAGACTGCAACGTGATCTTCATTACCTGCTGTTGCGCCACTTTGCTAAACGCGTGCCGTCGCGACAAAAGGAAGCGAACTGCAGCTATCAGGGGACAAGTCGGATAAGCTCCAGTGCCAAGCCCGCCCGCCCCCCTGCCCCCAGAGTCGTTTGGGAGCATGGCGTTGCTTGATGTGAATTTGCCGAATGCGTCTGGACTGGTCTCTCCTCGCTCGCCCGCACAACGCCGCTGGCTGGCGGCTTGGGGAGAGAAAAAAGAGGCTTGCATGCAACGGCCTGAGAGCCGCCCAAGAAGCCAAAAGTCGCCATCGACTCGGGCGCATGGGCGACACGCCTCAGCCGCTAGCCTCAACCGGGTCTAGCTTTGAACCCAAAATGTGCTAGTGCCAGGGTCCGGGAGACGCCGTAGCCCCTGAGTGCTCCATGCGAGTCACTTGTATCCACACTCTCTGTCACCTCCACATCCGGCTGATCGTATTCCAAACCATGCGCTTATCATGTCCGCCTCCCTCGGCCCTCTCATAGGCCTTGCTGCTCCAACCGTCGCCTTCCACTTGCCCCCTCCGTCATGGCGCCAGCGTAGCCCAGGGGTTCCCAAGCACACGCCCGCACCGTATATGGCTAGCCGTTGCTCAAGCTGCCTTTCTCCCAACTCGGCCCTCGTATCTTCGGCCCACTATCTATAGACGCTTTTCTCTTGACTCTCTTGTCCAGCTCTTGAACTCTCTTGTCCCGCTCAGCCCGCTTCTCCTCGTGCCGAACGTCGTTTTCTTTCCCATTGTCACTTTGTTTCCCAGTCGCTCGTTCTTCCTCACCGTTATGCCATCATGATCCCCAAAGGCTACCGTTTATCCTTTCCCCACCTCGTCTTTTACGTTTCCACCTTTATAATCACCACACAGCTTTATTTCATATGGGGCCAGTCCAAACTCAACTACATCGACTTTGCTCACAAGCGCATATTGGGCGACTGGACTTTTGATGCCGATGTCCACGCCAATGTCCATACTCTCAGCCAGGACCAATGCGATTCCGCCTTCCCAAAGCTCTATCACAGCCTTGACGAGTCCGTCCGCTTGCGGCAGGGGAGAAAGGTTCACGCCCAAGATATTGAAATAGAAGAAGGAAGATGCATGCTGAGAGTGCTCATCTACGAGGGAGAGGTATGTTGATATTGATCTGTTCCTCCTAGTTTGCATGCATGCTCACATCTGTCTCAGCTCTTCGTTGTCGATACCGGAATCCCGGAAAAATGCTATGTTACCAACGGGAATGAGAGAGAACGCATTCTTGGAACTCTGGCCCAGATTGATCGTGCCGTTACTTCCGCATCTACCTCTGATCCCGCAGTCCCAAACATTGAATTCTCATTTTCGCTTGATGACCTACCACGCCGGTCTCGGAAGGATGGAACTTTCTTTGGCTACACGCGAAAAGACACACCAGAATATCGAGACATCTGGATGATGCCCAACTACGCCTACTGGGCTTGGAACTACACCCATGCTCCCAGCTGGAACAGCATCAGGAAAGAGATTGAGCAAAAGGAGAAGGACCTGCCCTGGGACAAAAAGGACCCCAGAGTCGTCTGGCGAGGCAAGATCAAGATGGCAAAGCTAAGAAAGGAGCTAGTCAAAGTCAGTGAAGGAAAGGAATGGAGCGATATCAAGCCTGTCGTCATCAATAACGCCAGCGATCCTCATACAAAGGACGTCATGAACTTGAGGGATTTCTGCGGGTATGTTTCCTTGCTCTCACAAGACACCTGGGCTTCGATACTGATTTTTTCCTTTGCTCAGCTACAAATACACTGTCCAGACCGAAGGAACCTCTTACTCCGGCCGCCTCAAGTATCTCCAGCTCTGCCGCTCAGCCATGATCACTCACCCCCTGGAATGGCAAGAGTTTCACACCCACCTCATGCGCCTCGCTGGTCCCGAGGTGAATTATATTGAGGCTTCAGAGAACTTCGGTAATCTCGAGTCCGCCATGGAATACTATCGTGAGCATGACCACGAGGCAGAACACATTGCGAAGAATAGTTATGAGACGTTTACCCGAAGGTATCTTACACCAGCAGCAGTGACATGCTATTGGCGACGATTGTTCTGGTCCTGGGCGAGCGTGCAAGGATTCGACCCACTCTTGTACGTCCCTGATAAAGACGGTAAGATGGCCATGAGAGGTACACCCTGGACGGCCTTCGCTGCCAACTGGCCCAAGGACCCCGCAGCTATTCCCTGAGCATCGGTGGGGAGGCTATCCAATATTCGGCCGCTGGAAGGTGAATTCGCATGAGCATTAGCATTGGAGTACCAGGTTTTTCCATTTCGTACGATACCCGCAGTTACGCGCCAGAACATTAGACACGTATTAATATTGTTGCATATATTCTAATTAGTTGCCTCGTCTTATCCCATGTCTTCACCCTCAACTGTCTGACAAGTTATTCTGGGTCAACAGCTTGCGGGAAATGCTAATTTTGCAGATGCAAGTTCTGCGGCAAGCAATCTATCTTTATTGATGCGGCCCTAGTCGCCACTCGCTACCGCTTACGCTACAATATACTAACCGATAATGGTAGCTACGCAGCTATGGTGTCAGCAGCTACTTTGTTTTCTTCGTATGGGAGGATCGGAATCGTGGAGGATTCGAAAGCGACATTGCGTTACTTTAATATAGAAACCAATAATCAGCATCCCAAAGAAGACTTTCTGTTACACGCTAAACATACATTACGAGAGACTTGGTTCAAGACTCCCAACAAATCCATGGATGCTTTGCAATAAAATGACCTCAATGCCATGGCACGATACACAAACTAATCGGCATTGATTTCTGTTATATGCATCATGTTGTTCCTGTCCGCCTTTACCTTGTTTCAACTTTCCACAGCTTTACCAAGTCTACAGCCACGGGCCTCCCAATACCTGGTCATTCTCGATACTGGTGTAGGGCATCGCAGCACGCCGATCCCCAGATGGCCTACTTCTCTTCGCCGTATCAATACTGACGGTACCAACACGGCTAACCTTACACAATTCGGCATAGTTGAGTCTGACCCCAACACACTCGAACAGCCGATACTTGCCGATGCCCTAACATACTCGCCGTCAACCTCCTCCCTCTTCTCCGTCACAGGTCGGGGCGTGGTGCGAACCAACATAGACGGTGGGAACTTAGAATACATCTTGGGCAAAGAGAGCGGCTTATCGAGCCAAATTGTCAGCATCACAGCAGCCGAGCAATCTCAGAAGCTTTACTATGGCGACTACAACACAGGCCTTATTTACTCCTCAAACTATGACGGCAGTAACGTCGCCGTATTCCGCAACGTATCTGAAGGCCTCACCTTTATCTCTGAGGACTACAGCTATGCCAATACACATGCCGGTGGCATTGTTGTCGACGAAGCACGGGGCTGGCTCTACTGGAGTTCAGTAAGTGACGGTAGCATCCGGCGCGTCCTTCTCAGCGGCGAGGGGCAGGAACAAGTTCTAGTTACTGGACTCGACAAACCAGGCCAACTGCGCATCGCAGGTACTTCTTTATACGTTGCCGAGCGTGGCTCGTGGAGCTCCTCGCCCACAGCTATCAAGTACCTCGGCCGCACGATTGACGAGCTTCCTGCATCCCCAACGTCTCTTAATCTAGCCGTGCCAACGGGTACTCTCATCTCGTCTGCACAGTCGTCGCTCTTTACAGAAGTCGATTACACGGGTGAGAAGCAGACGCTGGGAATTGAGAGCTTCGTTGTCTATAGGAATGGCGTGGAACAGATTGTGTATTTTGCTGTCAATAGTGCGGGCAGGACGTCGTTCGGCAAGATAGTAGAGACAGTCTGGAGAGGGAGTGGGGATAGTAGAGGTCCCGTCTTCAAGGTCTTGAGCGCGAAGACAAGCGAGGTTGGAATCCCCGTTGGATTAGAACATATCTTATGATAGATATCAGAGACGGACATTATCTCTCTCTTCACTAGAATCCTTCGAAACAATCAGTTACTCGGTAGAAACTCTACTTTGCTATCGTTGTCGAATACATACTGTTTGTCTCTTTTGGGTGATTGACTATTCATAAGTCAAATCAGAATTTGATTATATTAACACTAGTAGGCACGAACTAAGTTAGGCCGACGTCTGAAATGTATCAGTCATGTCGCCATCGACTATGCCACGGCCGATGGTATTATCTAAAAGAATTGAGCGAGAAGAAAGCTATGCTTATCCCTTCAGAGAGCTGCTGTGTAGAAACGGAATAGCTCTCGTATATTCATCGCGTTTGTCTGACGAGGTACTTCTGCCATATATGCTAACGTAATGCTGCCGTCCTCTTATACCCATGTTTAGGAAGTGCGGATTGCTATCGATCCTTTTCCAAGTTCGCCTCTCTGCAAGCTCTTCTACATTCCAGTTGGCCCAAAAAACAGGCCCATTCACGAATCCGCCTCTCGCGTACCCATCATGACCGCGAGCATTACTCCAAGGAAGGCTACCTAAGCCTTCGCACATATTTCCCAAATCAGCATTGATTGAAGGTTTGTATTCATTTATTGGCATGCTAATAGCTCTAGTGAGCTGTCAAGTGAGTCCTAGACATATCCCTCGATGCCACGGTACGTCAAGTCTTGAAACAGCAGCCGTGGCCGATTCCCCCAAGGAGTCTTCGAAGACAACCCTGGGCCCAACGGATACAACTGTTTTGATAGGGGAAAGAACAACTTTTTGGAAGAAAACGTTTAATTATTTCTACATCATTAGCTGAGTACTTTTCCAGACTATCTTAGATACGAATTATCGGGGTAACCGTATAAAATTTGATTCGAGAAAGACAGTAAATCTAGATATAAAAGTAGATAACTGTAGCTATACTAGGGTACAGTCAAGAGTAGTCATGTAGCTGCGCTATAAACCTCTCAATTAGTGAATTACCTCAAAAGGTAGCCTGTGCCTTGCGTCCCTCAGTTGAAAGTCTTGGTTATACCATCAAATTAGTCTAGTCAATGCTCCTCCATAGCGCAAGTTCCTCTGTCCCGTTATGCCCAAGACTTTGGGTGCTTAGGATCTTCGTGCCACATGGGAAGTCATTTGTTCCGTCACTGAACGAGATGTCGTATTTCGTACGCTCCTTGGTTCCAATCAAAGCTGGAACGTTGGATGCGATGAACGGGCCATATATGATTTCACCAGTGACCTATGTAATCTGAGTAAACAATTGAGTAAGGGACATATTGTATGCCAAGTACGTACAACTGTACTAACTGCAACTGGATCGACATTGAGTGGACCGGCGAAAGAAAGTGTTATGTTCGTAGCTATTGAAATGTCAATATGTCGGGTGCAAAGAAGAACAAAAGCAAAGCTCTGTACCGTCCGTAATAACTACTGAAACGTAGCCAGTCTGAGTATATACTAACATGCCACGTGGGTCTTTGCGAAATTGCACGTCCGGTCCTGGGATGCCATTGTAGAGGCTGGAATTATCAAGCTGTTAACGATCTTGATCTATGCAAAGTATAGAGCGGCGGAGAATTGCGCAGACTCACGTCGTTGTGTTGATAAGCGCGTACGTGCCGGCTAAGGCTTTCAGAATCGTCTTAGCGTTAGCCATTGTTTAAAAGAACCGAAAAGCCAAGCGACTACGGAGAATTTGCGAGGCCAGAGGCGCCCTAAGAAGATTTTGTATTGCATTCGTCAGCTCCGGCAGTTCCGGCAGTCCCGGCAGTTCTTGGATCAATAAGGTGATACAGCGTTGCGTGAGCCAAAGCAGCGTTTAGTGCTTACTCTAGCAAAGTTTAACACCACTCTTAATATGAGCTTAATCATTCTCCGCTCTACTAATCAACACCGTTGCGCTTATAGATACTAACATGCCCACCGCTAATTACTACTATCGCGTGCTAGTAGCGCTAATATTAATTATACTCCTATCCTGCTACTTACACTATATATTATAATAATATATAGCTCAGTCTCTCTAAGAATTCAAAGATTATTTAAAAACATAACCAAGACTAAATATATCTAGAAAGTAATAGGATAGTAAGATTTTTTAATATAGGAAAGTGTAGCTTTTAACTTCTAATAGAGGAACTTAGTTTTATTTTATACATGTGAGAAAAGTAAATATCTCGGCACTGGTGACATGGGAGGTCGCAGCCCCCATCGGTGGTTCGAATACTAGCTTTGGAGAAGAATTGGATCGTTACCCCAGCGCGTTGCTCGTCATACAGAACTACAACCTTGGCCATGTGAATGCAACGATCACATGCTCCGTCCAGGCTGATTGGGCCCTAGGCGCAAATGTAGCAGAGGGCATTTGCTGGCAAGATCAAAACTCAATTGAACAACGTGCAGTTCTAGATGATATACGTACTCTTCATAGAAATATGGTCAATGAAGAACCAATTTACGCCTGAAAAGCCCATTTTCGACTAAGCGAAAGGATTGCAAAGAATAAACACGACAATGACATGGCTCATCGCTTTGACATCGACACTCGAAACGAATGCGACCGGCCAAAAAACCTTGGCATCAATCATTCAGCAGACTGAATCGCTGCCTAAAGACAAGGACAAGCACTTTTTAACCCTTGGGTCCATAGTAGCCATCTTTATAGCAGACTGCCTCTCACGAACAGGATACGACGAAACATATGCAAGTGAAATCATCAAAAACGACGGATGAGACACTGGAAATGCCTCTGGATTCTGCAATTGGACCTGGAAAGGATCTACTTGACCCGAGGTGCTCAGCAGAATCCTCAACAATAAGGCTGAATTTTCTCCTGCCCAAGAGCATTGTCAAAACCCTGGCCAGATGTATGCTTGGAATGCGACTGGGGCGTGGCTAGATCTCAAAACTACCAGCACAGCCTACTACCTAGCATTTGTAGTGCTACACGTATATCTTATTCTCGTTGCGTTGCACATTGTGTACACTGCGCGAAAAGTGTATGCGAGCGATTCTTAGTCGTCAGTTACAGATTTGATTGCTCTCACCCAGACGTCGCCAGCTCCAAAAGACCTTCTCAAGCATACGTTTTCGGGCGTGAGAAGCCATAAGACAATAAGGTTAAAGATGAGATTCAAAGTTAATACACTCGTGCTAATTAGAGGTGAGCAATTGCAGTTATTAGTTGGTCAGGATAGTACGGTTGCGAATTTAGAGCTTATAAAGCGAGACGAGAAATACGGAGCCCGTACCTAAGCTAAAGTAAAATAGCAATACGATTGTCTAATGGCAATTTCTTTGTTTAAAGCAGATACGTCAATCATAGTTAAGGTCGCAGATAGTCAGATATCGCGGCTACTGCAAGGATTCAGAAATATCATAGAGGGCTGGGAGGTAAAAACCTCGTATATAATGCTACATGAATTTAACACGCAATATGTTCTAATTAAGTGACCACACACCCACGCTTTATCCGAGAGTACATATTGAGAGGCACCGTGAGCAGTGCACCAGTTGCGACAGGGTATGAATAGGGGTAAGAACTTGTTGGGGCAAGGGTGGATGCGTCTGAGCCCAGCTATCGAAACATCTAGCTCATCTAGTGTACGAAACCTTTAGAACGATGTTGCTAAATGTAAAGAGTGAACTTGGAGATAAATATGCCTTTGAGGGTGGCTAGGCCCAGCCACCGAGTACTTCACCCATATACGCGCGCTCCCGAACTATCAACAGTTAGCCAGTGAATCCATTATCCAACAGATGTGACTCACGATATGGGTCAGCATGGGAGATGAAAACATGCCAAGGCGCTGGAGAGGAATTGCGACATAGCCTTGAACTTGGGGATACGCTCAAACGGCTCGCCGTCCTTGATCAGAGTACGACAATCACAGTGAGCTCGGCGCATATTGATGCCTTGGCTTATGCGCTCTCGAGTATTGCAATATGCAGCCTCATGGAATTGTGCTGTCTTGTCCGCCATACAAGTCAGCCTTCTATAAGGGTGTGGCATATCTGCTATCATCGTTCAATCTCATTCGCTGCACAGTGTTACTCCATGCAGCCACTCGCTTGAGCATGGAAACTAGAAACACCGCCAAGTCTGCAGGACCTCCTGAATCTGCCTTGCGATTGCCTGCCTAGTTGTCGCCGAATGATCTGTCCGTTTATTTAAAAGGTGCTCTGGCGGCTGTACAGATACTCATCTGTTGTCAACACATTAAAGAGCCTGTCCGATTTTTTGTAAGCAACTTCATATATCGCAGCTTGCTGCTGACTATTGCAGGACAATACTGGAGAGATGCCTCGTCACGAAACGTATCACGACATGCAGAAGAAGCGCCGCCATGGGGTAAAGCCCTACGGTTTTGATGATGCCGAACCGAACCACGACCACGATGACGCCTATGGTTGGGACAACGACGCCGCTGATGGATATAATAAAGACGATGAAGACCGCAACGTGAACATCTTCAATCCTAGCGGCTCGCGCGTGAACTGCACGGACATGGGTGAATACTACGCATCTGGGCTACCGAACACATACAGTCCCCCACCAGAGGATTCATATGGCAGAGATGAGGATGAATGGAAACAACGTCTCGTAGATGGAGGATTTACCTACTCTACTGAACCCCCTGAAGAAGAATACCTAGACCGTGACCGCGAATTTGGTGTACTTTACCGCCACCAGAACAAACTCGGTCACGTCATCGCGGCGGATGGAGGCTTCAATAAGGCGAGCTACACCTACACGGACCACCAGGAGCGGCCTGACAAAGATGTGACGGACGAGGTGCGCAACGCTGAAGCAGAGGGGCGCGTCGTGGGTTATGTGACAAGAGATATTTTTGATGATAGGGAGAGGAAGCTTGGAAAGCGGTATGACAGTCCCGAAGAAGAAACCCGACAAGGGCCAGCGGATGATCCGGACTAGACTGGTCATTGGGTACCCCCCTACCTCTGGGTAGGGTAGAGGTTGGGTAATGGTCGCACGGACNTGGGTAGAGGTTGGGTAGGGTCGCACGGTCCTTGGGTAGGGGTTGGGTAGAGTCGTATAGACTTAGGTAGGGGTTGGGTAGGGTTGCCAAGAGTTGGGTAGGGGTAGAGGTAGGGGGCTTACCTAATCACTACCCTACCCAACTCTTGGCAACCCTACCCCTACCCAACCTCTACCCAAATACCCGTCTAATCCGGACTATGATGACGATGGCGGATATGAGATGGACGAGAACAAGAGAGAATACAATCTTTGGAATGCGTATCGTGACTAGGTTATTACTTTAGTAAACGCTATGCCTTCGTTCTTCGCTAAGCTGGCAAACGGGTACCCCCTACCATAGAGTTTAGTAGGGGTTAGGTTATGGTCGCACAGACCTTAGGTATAGGTTAGGTTAAGTTACTAAGACTTTAGGCAGGGGCTAAGGTTAGGTCGCACAGACCTTAAGTTAGATTAAAGTTAGATTAGATTAGTTTAGGTTATAGTTAGGTTAGGTTACTAAGCTCTTAGGTAGAGATTATATCTAGACTTTATAAATCTTTAGTAGAGGTTTAGTTTTAAGTACCTAATTAGATATATAACTTAGAAATCTATATAAGTTAGTATAGTTAACTTTTATAAATAAAAGAAAAAGTAACGTACTTTACGGGTTCGTGTAACACACGGGTTCGTATAACAGTTTTACTAAGACTCTACCATAATCTCTACTACCTACTAATATTATAATAACTATAGCACTTATAGTCTTCTTATAAACGCTAAATATAGCTTACGCTTTAAGCTCTTAAATAAGACGTAAATCTTCTAGTCTAACGCGCTGTATATATCTTTAACGTCTATTATTAGATACTAAGCCGTTAACGTAATAGATAACCCTTATAAGTAGATTATATACCTAAAATAATAAATCTAACTAAGCTTAAGAAGAAGATAGTTATTAAGTATATACTTAATCTTAATCTACGTAGATTTCCCTCTAAGCTTATAAATATAGCTAATATAGCTAATTCTCTACGTGTAACAGCGTAGGCAAGACTACTTAGATTAGTATCGGCGGTAGTGTCACTTAGAGGCATATAGGAGTGCGTAGGACATTAAACAAGCCTTAATTTAAATAGACATCTATAGGCCTTATACAAAAGAATATTAAAAATCTACCTAATAAGCTATTATAGAGGTTAGATTTATATAGTCGTTTTTTCTACTAGGCTAAATTATACTCTAGTTCGGATCCTATTTAGATATATATAGAAACGGGTGCTAAGCCGTTACACTACGCGCTAAGCGTAATCTAGACTAGATTAGCTAAAACTAGCCTAGCATATTTATTAAGCGCTAATCTAAGCTTAAAGTAAAGTTTAATTATAAGTATAACTATAAAAGAGCTCTTTATAAGTATTCTAGAGCTATTTAAGACTTATTTAGCTTAGTAGCTAATATAAAAGCTAAGTATAGAATCTAANATAATAATATATATAACTTTAATAAGATAGGCTTTATAATAGNCTAGATTACCTCTAGAGCTATTATTATAGCTTTAGAGAGACGTAGATAGCCTAAGACTATCTAGCTAGGTAATAGAGAGTAGGCTATAGTTATCTA